TATGTATGTATGTATGTATGTATGTATGTATGTATGTATGTATGTATGTATGTATGTATGTATGTATGTATGTATGTATGTATGTATGTATGTATGTATGTATGTATGTATACATATATATAATTAGTAAACGATGACTTCGGTTTTTATTCAAGTCAATTTTATAATTAGAATTCAATAGAAAGTGTTTAGAGTATGAACTTTAGTTCCATTGATTTTATCTTAATCAACACCCACAATAAAAATGATTAATTATTAATGATTTTCAATGTACAAAATTAGGCAAAGCCAACATAGCAAGGGCTATGTAATTAGATGGCTGAAAACAAACCCTAATTAGCCGGAGCTAAGTTTACACACTAACACACCTGTCAATGATTAATCAACTAATTAATTAATTAATTTAATTAATTAAACCCGTTAACCCAACCTTCCATTTCTCATTATAAGTACCTCTCATCCCTGCCAAATTCAAACAAAAAAGAAAAATTATATATAAAAAAAAATTCTTTGTTTCTCTTCTTTTTTGTATTTTCTCTCTGTCGTTTCGTTCCGTTCATCTTTGATCTCCGTGTTGAAGTTGTAACATCAATATTCGTGAGAAAAAGAAGAAGATATATAGTATATAAGATGGGTTTTCTTCACAAGCTTTGGGACGAAACGTTGGCGGGTCCCACACCCGAAACGGGTCTGGGCAAGCTCCGAAAGTTTAACAACTCATCCGCCGGCGGCCCAGCGGTGGCGGAGGATGTTCCGATCAGCCGCAGCATCACCATTATTCGGACTCACTCTGGTTTGGGAAGCACCTCAACCTCTGCTCCTGCCTCTCCTTCTTCTGTGCCGGACACCCCTTGCACCCCCTTCTCTCGTTCGTAACACCTCTCTCTATAAAGCACTGAACTTTGACGAACACAAGTTGTTGACTTTTTCTTTCGATTAAATCGACCAGTTTTTAAGAATTTTACGCTTAACAATTGCAGCCGAGGCGCCGGGCGGTGGTGTCAAGAAGTTCACGAGGAGAAAATCGTCAACGGTGGAGGGTGCTGCAAATAGAAGTCCGACGATTTACGATTGGTTCTCTGGTTTCTGTTTTGCCCTTAATATCTACGACATTTAACATGGCAGATATGCCGCTTGCACTTACGTGCATGTTTTGTTGTGTAAAACTTTTCTTATTGTTGTTTTTGTGCTTTGTTTGCACTGTGCAGGGTGATCATGAGCGCTTTGGATCGCTACTGAGAGTGGAAATGAGATGTTTTGCTTTTGAACTGACTTGAATATCATCCCGCAGAGGCAGAGAGGGATTACGTTTTCTGTACATACAGCAACACTGATTTCAATTTCCATAGGGAATCATGTTATTTTATTCATTGCACCTTACTATACTATGTACATATTATATGGTATAAAGTATACGAATACATCAGTACTACCTGCTTATAAAATGGCTCAGGTGATTTGCAGGGTGTATCCACCAGATTGAGTCAGTGCTTCATGGGATTCCAAGGTTGTGAAAGAGTAGAAAACCAGCTTTTGTATATATGTTTTTTTTTTTTCCTTTTGATTTCTTGGCTGTTGTAAATATGACTTTTGTACTCTCAGATCTCTATTGGTGAACTCAATGAAGCTTGAAAATAGTTATTGTATATAAATAAATATATGTTTCTGCTTTTTTATAGACCCTTGGTGCTTAGTGACATATCTTTATACATACATAATCAAAAGATTGAGCATGCATCAGCTATTAACTCAAATAGATGATTAATAGTTACATGAAGATGTATGGCCTCAATCAATCAATTTGTTCAATTCAAAGGACTAAAAGAGCGATTATTGTTTGAGGAAATTAAGAGGTAAATGCTAGGATGACACTTCCTTAGAAATTAAGCATTCTATAGCAATTTTCTGTCAAAATCTGAAAGGACAGTTATGGTTTGACCCCAGCTTCGTTTAGGTTGAACAAGTCTTCACCTTCTCAATCAGATCAGCGGCATCTTGGACGGTGGAGATGTTCTCAGCTCCACCTTCTCCAATAGAAATGTCAAACTTTTCTTCCAAAGCCATCATGATTTCAACCTGTTTAAATTTAGGCATATCAAAACATATGTAAGATTAATACTTATTTATCTTCTATCATGTAAGATAGAACTAAAAACAGTGCTAGAATTTGAGGCCTTACAGTGTCAAGAGAATCAGCACCCAAATCTGAAAATTTAGTTTGCGGAGTCACAGTGGTTTCATCAATAGAAAGTTGCTTTGCAATTGTGCATTGGACAATTTGCATAGTTTCCGGATGAGCCTTTGCCCAGTAAAGGAAACACATAAGAGAAGCCAACAAAACAAGAGACTTAAGAAAGAAGTATTTAACAGGAGAAAATGGGAGAAAGAAATTATTACAACAGAGCAAGAGATTGTAGTATTAAAGCCAGCAGAGCGTGTATAGGTCACTTTTGTTGCCTTCTTCAACTGGACTTTATGTTTTAGCCCACTAAATACAGAACTTTCCTGCATAAGAAAACAAATTTACACATTTCATGAAAAGCAATCCTGTTTAAGTTGAAAAGAATCACTATAGACAACAAAATTCTCCCTCTGATAGAATATAGCCTAATTAAGGACTTGAATTTTAGATTTCTGGTTAAGTCAGAACAATTTTGACTTAGTTAATCCATGTCTCTACTACTTAAACAACTGGTAAAAGATACAAACTTAATTTGACGAAGAAAATGGTGTCTGTCATACCATTGTGGACAGTTTCTTCATTTGGTGAGTGGTTGTTGTTCTGACCCCAGAATTGAAGGAGAGGGTAGCCAATGAAATTGATGAAGTGGATAGAATATAAGCCATGACTTATTTGGGGAAGTGCTCAACCAGAAAACTAAAATTCCTAAGAACTTTATTGACTACACTCTAATGCAGATTTTATATGGGTGATGCCATTGAGAATATAAACAGATATAAATATATATATATATATATATATATGTGTGTGTGTGTGTGTGTGTATGTATGTGTGTGTAACTATTTAGATCAAACAGCTAATAGGTTATGAGTTGGAATCGATGATTCAGAAAAATCATTCTGAGGAGCCATAAATTGGACGGAGTGCACCAGAAAATGTGTCTTTTTTACATTTGAGGTATTGATTATTGAATGAGCCATTCCATGGCATGATGCAAAATATATTCCAAAAGGACAAAGACACTTCCTACATTGATGTTTTCATGGTGCATGTCGCTCATCCTTATTTTTGTCTGCATTACAACTGATCAACACAATGTCAATGAGACAAGACAGTACATACCTTTGTCATTGTGTTTTATTTTAGGTATTTATCATCCCAAAGTCGCAATAATCCAAATTAACGAGTCAAGTTTGATCAGGTTATTATTTAGGGGATAGAATACTGACATTTTCTTTTTTTTAGAAATGCTAATAAATTATTCCTTTAATAAATATTTTATTAACTAAAGTTTATTGAAAAATTAAAAAATTGTAAATTTACAAAGTTAAAACACTGTAACATTTATTTTTTCAATTTAAGATATCAAAAATGAATTCGTTTTACGTTTCAAAAATTAAAAATATAGCTAAATCTAAATTTTACAACGCGGAAAGGCTGATAAAGGGAATAACTTTACAAAAATTGCTCCAAATTCCCGAAGTAACCCTTTGTATTTCATCCTTTCCATAAATAACTTATATTAATTTTTTTTCAATGATGGCTAGTTGACATTTTGTTAAATGAAATTAATTTAATTTTAAAAAAAATATTTTTCAAATATAAAGAAATAATTATCTACTATTATAATTTATGTGCAATTGTAATTACTAACCATTAAACTAAGTTATAACATGCATATGACATAGATTTTTAGTGATTGAGTATGCATTTTTCTAAATTGGTGATCGTAAATATCAAATATTAATGATTTTAGAAGGTCATCAACCTAGTAAAAGATAGATAGAAATTACGCGTATATAAATATAATTTAAAAAGGGCTATATTAGGAATGATAATGTGAGATGCGTTAAGCGGATCAGCTTGCAGGTTTCCAATGTTTTTGAGTCTACTTATCTACATAAGTCTGACTTGCATATACTGACTGGTCCGCATTTTCTAGATTTAACATTTGTTTGAGTTGGTGATGTTATTGCAATGTGTTGATCATTGTGTTGTAGTTATATTCATGGGCTCTTATTATCATATATTGAATATATTTTATTTATTTTAATAATATAAAAATATTATGCAAAGTATTTCATAATCACAAAATTATGCTAAGTCATGATATTTGAATATATGATATGATCTTTATCAATTAAACTAAAAAGGCAAATATGACATAAAAGTAAAGACCATCATGCATTATACAACATGAAATAAGCTCTTCTTTTTTTTTTATTAAAGTTAATTATGCACAATCTTGATTTTTAATTACAAAGTATAGGTATACTTTCAAATTGTATGTAGTTCTAAATATATTTATTTCAATAAAAAATATTCAAAATGTTAAATTAAGATATATTTAAGTTATTTATGGATATTTGTACCAATAAATGGAATAAGTTGTGTAATTCTTAACATGATCATATAGAGTATATCATTAAGTTGAGTTAGAAAATTTCTTTAAAAAAAGTGATGCGGTCAGCCTAGGGGCTCTCAAGTCAAAAAGAATGCGAGACACGTCGTAATATTCAGTCCATTTTGATAAGCGTGACAGGCTAATCCAACCCGTATTTTACAAGTCAAGTGTGAGGCGGGCCTAAACGAACCAAACCAACCCGCATTGTCACTCCTTAGTTATGTTGGTCTCGAAAAAAAATAATCAAGTATTTATATTATCTCTTGTTTTTATCTCCATGCATAATTATTATTATCTCACGCATATATCGGATAAACTAATAATATAAAAGTTTTATCATACCAATGAAAAACTAAGTAAAATAATGTTTCTTTTACTCTTTTCGTAAAGTTAAATATTAACTTTACTGTATGACTGTCTGGTTAGTCATAGACCAGATGGTCAACCTTGACTCGGACTATCCAATGAGTCATTTGGGAGACCAATCAGTCATGTCAGATCGGTTAACCTTAATATTGACCAACTTAAAGGTAAAGTGTAATTACCTACAATTGGATCGTAATTATGTCAATGTTAATTAAAAGCTTACTCCAAAACTTATAAATACATGTTTGAGATAAGGAAGTAGTAATATGTATTTATTGTGCTATTAATTTTGAACTGATAATATTAAGTTGACTTTAACATTAGGGTGTCTTCAACATATACCATCTAAATGGTTAGACTCCATAAAACTTGACTTTAATCTTATACTCCTAAACACTAAGAATTAACCACAATAGTGTACATTTCTTTTCTATAAAATGTATAAATACATAAAATTTATTATGTTTACGATTATATGTGTAACGTCCCAGATTATATATAAATATATATATATATATAATATAGCAGTCCACATTTTTAATATAAGAGAACAGTTAGAAGAAGACTGTAAATAAAGTATTAAGATTACAGTCATCCAAAAGAAGTCATAATTTAAAACTTAAACACATTAGAGTATTTGAAAATGATAGTACTTAATTTAGAAATTTCTAAACAAACTAAGCTGCATTATCATCACCATCGAGGGCCTGCTCCATGAGTACCTCATCTACCTCTGCTCACATCCAAGTGGATGATCATTGCAAAAGAAAAGCACACACAAGCAAAACACAAACACAGAAGCAAGGGTGAGCTAGATATACAAAAATCATGTTATAACAATCACATACAACATGCAAGTTTAATTCAAAGTTAATGAACCATACAACACCACTTGTTACACTTTACACCAGACTCGTCCGGACTTAGAATGATTGTCGAGCTATGGCGAGTCATGCACTCGTGGTGGCCTCTACTGCTTTGCAAAGTCATTGCCAATGGGTTTCACCCTACCACACTCACGAGGTTAGTCCATTATCACTCACCTTGGGCCATACTGGAAGCACCCAAGACTAGGACCTCCTGCTACTCCTCACCACATGGATCAATCCTCTCTACTTGAGAATGAAAGACCATTGGAGTTTTAGATAACCCCCAAGACTGAGCTACCATGCAAATCATTGTAAAACACACCAAGGGCACCACCATGAACCCTCTCCTCGAAGATCATGGAGTTACGTCCAATAACCACACTTGTTACATTCAACCACCAAACATGTCTCATACATTCACATACTTTCAATATAATCACATTACCACCATCATATTATGCATTCCAATCATTCCACACACTTAATTCAACCAAAGAAATAGCAAAAGAAAAATCTGGACTCAGAGGATTCGCAGAGCGCATCCTATTCGCAAGGCGGGACAAGAGAGTCTCGCACAGCGCACCCCTTAATTCGCTATGCGAATTGACTCGCAGCATGCACCAAAATTCAAACCTCTCACATAGCGTACCCAGGTCGCTATGCGAGAGCCTAGACAGAGACTACCCCTTCCAAAGTCTCGCTATGCGCCCAAACTCGCCCTTCAAATTAAAATATTAGTAGTTCCAGACCATCACCAGTCGCATAGCGACAGGATTCGCTATGTGAATCACCAGACAGAGAGTAGCACCCTCCAGTCATTCGCACAGCGCACCACCTCACACAGCAAATGACTCAAACAGAGAGCACCCTCTACAGGGACTCACTATGCGAGATCATTCGCATAGCGAGTCTGCATAATCTGCAGAACGCAAATTCTACAGAATTATGCAACTCTCACACCCTTTACCATTTCTAGTCATTTTCCCCAACTTCTAACACCTCTAATTCATATTTTATACTTAATTAAACTTGTTTAGATGTTTATAAACGTTCCTACTACAATTCTAAAGTGGTTTAGGCTCAAATTCTACTCTAAAACACCAAAATCAACAACTTAGGGACCCAAATCCAATTCTACTACTTGTAACTCATTTTAGACCAGTTTGAGGTTCCTAACAAGTCAAAATTGACCTATATGAGCTACCAAAACAACCCA